TTCAAGGTGTGTGTGTGTGTGTGCGCGCACGCGCGCGTGCGTGCATGTTTTTATTTGGTTACAATCTGGTGGAATATTTTTGCGGGAGTATTTTGTTTTCTACGTTTTGGGCATTTTGTTCTATTGGGCTTATGGGTTGTATTTTGATAAAGGACTTAAAGTTGGATGGTTAGGAAGGGGGAAAGGATCAGGATGAACTTGGGTGAGGGAAAGAATATGTTCAAAATATATTTAAATGAAATTTTTTATTTTGAGGCAGGGTTTCTCTGTGTAACTGCTCTTGTCTATCCTGGAAAATACTCTGTAGTAAAAATTGCTCTAAATAATAAAAAATTTTTAAAAGAAATGTATAAATGAAGAAGAAAAATGCCTGTATTGACATACATTCAGAAAATACTATTTCAACTATAAAAGGAGATTGTAATTCCTTGCTTATTTGTAACAATGTTTCATAACAAAAATATAAACTAAATGTCTCTTCAAGAAAAAAAGATATAGGCTGTTTCTGATGGGAATATGCTGTACATATATCATCCAGTTATGTTGGTATCAGCACAGTAGAACTAGATGGCTGCCAGCCTGGGTGTAAACCTCTCTCAACAGTGAACAAGTATATTATCTTAGACTCAATATTGCAAGTCATCTAGCTTCCAGCAACACAATGAAGGGGGGGGGAAATTAAATTAAAATTTACCCCTGTTTAATTTTTTCTACTTCTTAAGTTTTCTTTTTTTTCTTCCAAAATCTCCCTTTTTTAATATTTAGAAAAAAAAAAAAACCCAAGATTTCCTGGGTGATGTTCCGGAGAGCTGTGTGCTACACACATCATAGAGACACAGCTGATATCCCCCTAATTCCTCTCCTTGCTTATAAATCTGAGTTAGATGTGAAAATAAAATTATAGTAGCGGCTTGTTCGGGTAGTAGTCAATAATGAAAGACATTCAATTTCTGCCCTGAAATATGTGTATATTCACCCAACATGAAGGAACAAAGAGAAAATAGCCCCTGGGTATCCAAATCGAGTTTGGCCAACAAGTTCATTTGCTACAATTATGCAACTCTATGGCTTCTCGTGATGGTGACTCTCAACCTGAAAGCTTACATCATCTGCCTGTACAGACCTTATTCCTTATCCCTTACTAGCAGGATCTAATCTTATTAAAGATGATGGCGTAACCACCTAGAAAAGCACATTTCCCAGTTTCCCTGGTAACCAAGGACAGTCATGAGATACTCTTGACCATTGAGAGGCAGTGGAGTCTGTGTGGGACTCCTGGGAAATTCTGTTGGTAGAGAATGGAGTCACAGTCCGCCTTGTCTGGACCCCAGCACTTTACAGATAAAGACCTTCTTTCTCTGTGCCTGAATTCTTTTTTTTTTAATTATTATTAAAAAATTTCCGCCCCCTCCCTACCTCCCATTTCCCTCCCCCTCCTCCTCTCCCCTCCCCTTCCCTCTCCAATCCAAAGAGCAGTCAGGGTTCCCTGCCCTGTGGGGAGTCCAAGGTCCTCCCCCCTCCATCCAGGTCCAGGAAGGTGAGCAACCAAACAAAGTAGGCTCCCAAAAAGCCAGTACATGCAGTAGGATCAAAACCCAGTGCCATTGTCCTTGGCTTCTCAGTCAGCCCTCATTGTCCGCCACGTTAAGAGAGTCCGGTTTGATCACATGCTCCATCACTCCCAGTCCAGCTGGCCTTGGTGAGCTCCCATTAGATCAGCCCCACCGTCTCAGTGGGTGGACGCACCCCTCCCGGTCCTGACTTCCTTGCTCATGTTCTCCCTCCTTCTGCTGCTCATTTGGGCCTTGGGAGTTCAGTCCAGTGCTCCAATGTGGGTCTCTGTCTCTATCTCCATCCATCGCCAGATGAAGCTTCTATGGTGATATGCCAGATATTCATCAGTGTGGCTATAGTGCATGGCACCACGCTGTAAAACAACACCTGATAACCACTTCCTGTCACTCCCAACTGCTTCCTCAAGGAGGGAGTAGTTAAATGGTTGGCAGGGAGCCTCAGGTTTCCTGCGAAGGGTTTTATCCAAGACCTCTCAGAACCACACCGATCATGTCATCTCCCTGATCAGAACCTCCAGAGGTTCTCTAGGAACCTTCCTTCTCTCGTCCCTTTTCATCCCCCCTCCCCTCTTCTCTTTTGACATAGTCTTGCCATGTACTCCTGGATCTTGTGATCCTTTTCCCTTGCCTCCCATCCCAAGCATGCATCCCAAGCATGCACCACAAGCCCAGCAGGAACATTATTGTTGTAGCAAGACTGTCACCTTAGGAAAAGGTCTTACACATTTGCAAACAAAAGTTTTACTTGGCAACATGTAGCCTGCCTTGGTTTTTATTTATCTTTTTTTTAAAGTTTATTAAATTATAAAAGTTTCCATTTCCACCCCTCCTCCCAATACCCTCCCGCTCCCCCCACTCCCTCTCCTCCTCCCTCTCCATCCCTAAGAGCAGTCAGGGTTTCCTGCCCTGTGGGAAGTTCAAGTTCTTCCCCCCTCCCTCCAGGTCCAGGAAGGTGAGTATCCAAACAGACTGGATCCCAAAAATCCAGTATATGCAGAGGAAAACAAGTCCCAGTGTCATTGTCAATGGCTTTTCAAAAAGACTCCGAGCCAGCCACATTCAGAGAATCCGGCCACATTCAGAGAATCTGGTTGGATCACGTGCTCGTTCAGTCCTTCCTGCACACCCTATAAACCTCTTAAGATCAGGATCCACATAAGAACAGTTTAAAGTTTATGAGAGACTTGAGATGTGCCTCAGTTGAGAGAATGCTTGCCTAACATGCACACATAAAACAGGTGTGGTGCAGCATGCTTGCAATTCCAGCATGCTTGTAATCCTAATGCTTGGGAGGTGGAGGAAGGAGGAGTGGATATGCTAAGATCCTTGGTCACATACTGATTTCAAGGCCAACTTCAGCTGAGTGAATCCCTGTGATATAAATTCTGGCTGGTAAGTGGCAAATAATCACATCAATTCTGTCACTTTGATGTCTTCCTGGAATCAAAACCATAACGGCAAAATATATGCATGCTTTTTAAAAGCTGGGAGCTTTCAAGTATGTACAAAGGCAGAGAGAAGTGTGCTAATAAAGTCATTACCCAGATTTAACATTTATCACCACTTCCCAGTTTACATTAGGTCAAAGGCCAGCTTTCAGGAGTCAATTCTCTCCTTCCACCATGTGACCCTGGAGCTTGGGTCATCAGACTTGGCAGCAAGTACTTTTATCCGCTGAGCCTTCTCGTCAACGCAAGATTTTTATGACTAGCAATAAATACACAGACACACGTAAATCCCTTGATTTTAAGGCCTCCATTCATTACATTTGATTGTTTTTCCAGGTATGAACTGTTCCTCTAGGTCAGTGGTTCTCAACCTGTGGGTTGCAACCCCTTTCACATATCAGGTAGCCTGCATATCAGATATTTTCATTATGGTTCATAACGGTAGCAACATTACCACTGCTATAAATTAGCAAGGAAAATAATTTTATGGTTGGGGTCACCACAACATGAGGAACTGTAAAACGGCCACAGCATTAGGAAGGCTGAGAACCACTGACCTAGAGGGACAGCTAATACTTCCGTTTCTTATTCTAAGGATATTCTGAAGTAAGACCAGACAATAGCTGATTATAGACGACACATGCATGCAACAGTGTGTACATGTGGCTTCACAATAAGACCCTTTCCTACAATCTAGCTGCAGTACAGAGATTATACCCAGTATTAAATTCTTATAGCATCTTATATCATCTGTGCCATGTTCAGTTAAACAACTGTTGTTTAAAAATCCTTTTATAATTGGTTTGTTCAAATCTATATTAAATTGTTAAAATTTAGGTCTTCCTTAATTGACTAGAACTCCCTAACATATCTTCATCTTAACTTTTTTTTTTAGTGGTGCTGGGGATGAAGGCCGGGGCAGGCTATGCAGTTCCTCTGCCAGTGAAATTCCTAGTCCCTCTTTTTTTTTTTTCTAAAGGTTATTTTTGGTAAGTAAGTTGGGCCACTTGTCTTATGAAATCCCTACACTTTAATACCTTATATCTGACTTACTGAAGCAGCCTAGTACCTTTTAACAGCTTCCTCTATCCACAGGATTATTTATTATTATTATTATTAATAATTACTATTATTATTGTAGCTGATTTAGAAATGGACACATAGGCTCAACTATAAAACACAAACTAGGGCAGGAAGATCTCACGGTACAATAAGATGCTAAAAGTCATGTCAACACCTCAGCGTCTCACTTTTATTGGCATTGAGATGATCTGTGGGTTCACTCTGCTCAGTCACCATTCCCAGCTTTCCCATCAGCCAGCCATCAATTGTGTCAAGAGATGCAGGTGATCATTACATAGAAACTGTTATTTCAGGTAAGCCTGGCAAAATTCTTTCTATATTTCTTATTTGCTTATTCTTATGTGTGTAAGTGTTTGCTTACATGCGTGTGAGCATAGGGGGCTTGTCTGGTGCCTATGGAGGCAAGGAAAGAATGTTGGATCCTTTGGAACTAGACTCAGAGACAGTTGTAAGCTGCCATGTGCGAACCAAACCCAGGTTCTCTGCAAAAACAGCCAGTGCTCTTAGCCACTGAGCCATCTCTCCAGCCCCTTGTTATTTGCAAATATCTGGTCTACTAACCTACTATCCATTTTGAGTTGTATACATTTTACATAAGACAAACTCACCTCCAAAGGCCTTTATAATATTTTTTTTGTAATTGTGAATGGCAGGTCTTTTCCTCCTGTGGTACCTGTCCTGTGCTTATTTCTGAACATTCATCTGTAGGGTGGTAAGATATAGGTGGTCCCAACAGGCATTTTGAACACTCAACGTCCAGCACAGTATTCTGAATATAGCAAGCATATAATGAATGGGCCAAGTGCTTTGACTTGGCAACTACTCAGACTTGGAATCTCCTACACATGCAAACAAAAGCAGCTAGATTCCAAAACGAAACACACACACACACACGTACACGTGATGCCACAACTTTATTAAAGCACAGAGAACAAACCCAAATTCTCACAACTTCCTCAGTCGTTAAAAAGTTAACAGAAATAAGAGATAACCAAGGGATATAATCTCACAATTTCCCAAACTATGCAACAATGTGGTATATATACGCAATTTAGGATTTTCCTTGAGTATGAAGACAGAAAATCATAACATCCCATAGATATTTAAAAATCTGCATATATAACATATATGTTGGTCCTCAAGGACTCATAGAACTTTTATTATAAACTATACTTAATAGCTGGGCTTTTGCTTATTAGGCAAGCAAGTTTAAAGGCAACAAAGCCCTGAAAAGTAGGTAAAACCCCATTAGAAGCTCGGTCTGATCAAACACTGCCTATACCAGTTCTACAGCCAGTGACGTTCATTTTGATCTACTGATGTTTATATCTGTCTGCCGGTCCACCGGGACCTGTTTTCATACAACATCCCACCTCCCTGCTTTCATTCACATATTTGAGAATGTGGTATATCACAATGTTGCTCTTGGTCCACAGGCATTACCAGACATCTTAAAAACATGGAGGAGCAAGTAAGTAGGGAGTCTCCTGTTTTATTTTCTATTTTCAGTTCCTTTGAGTCTTTGGGAATCACTTGCGTAGGTAACTACATCTACCATACTGTCCCATCAATACACAGAGTCAAAATAGGAAAACATGGATCCCTGAGACCTTCACAGTGACAGACGAGGGCTGCTGCTCCTGTCAGCTAGGCTTGTCTGTGACTTTTTATTTTTAAGTACGAAAATCTTCCTATTATCCTCTGCTCCTCGTCGCAAGCAAGTGGAATCACTAAAGGCCACTTAACGGTAAATCACTTTATAAATTAAGTAAATGTGGAGACGAAGGCATGGTGCAGAGTAATGGATCAGGAGAGAGCAGGCTAAACCTCAGAGTTAACAGTCAGTGAAAATGCAGACTTTGAGGAAAAATGAGAAAGAGACACCGTGTGGCACACAGTCCGAGGCCGTCAGTACCGACAGTGAACTTGTTCACACATAAACACTCCTTCAAAGGGAAAACGAAATAATACCAACAGCTTCACAAGTATCCAAGTATTGTTGGTTGGTTCTGGTTCTCCAGCAAGAACAAGAAAATTCTAGAAAGGAGCATTTTTAAAGGGGGAAAACAAACCATTTACCACAAAAATTTCAGCCCTTCACAATATGGTTTACAGTCTGAAGAAAAGAAAATCCTCGCTAATTCATGATTCCGGAAAACATTTCTTCATGCGGTGTATGCACCACACTAAATATGTATAATAGTAACCATAATGTAGTCTCTCTGTCTCCCCAAATCTAACAGCCCTTGCTAATGTAACCACATCTGGCCTCAGATTCTTCACCACCCACCACCAGTTGCTTCATAAGCCACTTTGCATAGCAGATATTTGAAAATCAATTTGTGATTCAAAGGCATCCAAGGTAAGCTAATCACATGAACATTTAAATATGCAGCTAATACACAGTTAGGCAAGACAATCCTTTTAGACATGACGTATCCGAGAGCGGCGTCATACTACAACCGTTTATGACTTTCCCCACTGAACTCCACAGCAATAGTTTCATGGACACATCCCTCGTGTCAGGCCTACACAGAGTCAATGGTAAACTCACCATTAGCAAAGTGTTCATTAACCTGTTGACACAAGTCATCTCGTTTGCAGCACAACAATGACCTTCACCTTAGCGTCAAAGGCATCGGCTCAGAAGCTGGAGCGCCACGGCCTTCGACAGCTTCTGCGCCGCTTGTCAGGGAGTCTTCCCAGCAGGGCTGGTGGCAACCACTCAGAAGACCCATTCCAACTATATCACTAATGATTTAGAATGAGAACTTATCAGAAAGCCACGTGGGCTTCCCCTGTGTTAGCACTTTAGATTGGGAACTGAGCCCTAGAGTGAATTTCATGTCTTCTGAATGCAAGGAATGAACGACAGAGCCAGAAGCCAGTCAGAGGTCTCCACACCAGACAGGAGGAATCTATCATACTCTATGGATCCCCGTCCGTGGTCAAAATCGCTAGTATTTTTCATCATCTCGGAGTTCCTAGAAGAGTACTCTATCACTTCATCTCCTCCTCTCGCTGTAGCAAAATGCATTAAGACCTTTCAGTTAGCGTGAAAGGCAATAGGAAACCTCCTGGCTGCTCCGGTCTCTTCCACTGAGGAGACTTATCAGGGAGCTTTGGACTCTCAAAGATCAGAAACCCAAATAACTTATCATAAAAATACAAGCTCTTGGTTTTGAAAAATATACAAAATGCACTGCATAGGTGAGTATCTCTTGATTGTCAAGGAAGGCAAAATATGAGTCTCAATTGTAGATCCAGGCTGCACCTGTCTCTTAGTGAGGCTTCGCTTTGCAATTTCCATTTTGTATAGTTTTGGGCAACCTTTGACCCTTGGTATAAGCACGGTACCAAAAATGGAGAAACAGTAGCAGGAAGATGCATCCGTAACTCATAATGATGTACAGAAACACTGGGTACTGGTAGTTGCAATCCTCCATGAAGAAGATCTGGCCTATGTGGACGGTGACCAGGACAAACTGGACCTGGAAGATGGGAGCATGAAAAGAAAATTAGTTACCAAAAAGAAAAAAAAAAAACCCACTTGGGTTTACGAGTCCTCCAACCATTCCTAGGTTACTACTGGGAAGGGCACTAGGTCTTTAAATATGAACTCTCTAGGAGTGAGATTAGGTTAGGTATGGTGTCAAAATCTAAATGAGAGTTGGGAATCAACATTCAGCGCTAATGCACAACGCCAGCAGAGCCTACTTAAATGTTCCCTGGAATGCGTTGTGTGGTAACATGCATCCTTCTTGGGTATCCAATAAGGTAGTTATTTGTTTGTCTCTGTGTGTGCTGGGATCACTACACCATAGCCTACTTCTTCAGGTCAATTTTGATTTCCAACATTCTGTCTTCTCAGAGACTAAGTATTTTAAGTTTTAGAAGATACTAACATCCAAATTAGAGCTCTTCTAGCTTTGATGGAGTCAAAGCAACCTTATTGCCAGAGTCTTTATAGCTGCCATGTGTCCTTGACCACCATAGACCCACTCCTAGGAAGGGGTTGGGCATGGGAAAACACAGTTGTCATCTCAGCTACCTGGAAGACTGAGGTAGGAGGATTGCTTAAGCTCATGAATTTGAGATCAGTTGGGCAACATAGTGAGCTCCATGGAGAGGAAGAAGTCTCATCTGCCAAGAAGGAGCAAGGAGAACAGGGACACACCGTCTGGCCCCAGGGAGACTTCCAGACTCTGTGGGCTGCATAGTCATAATAAGAAGGCTTTCGATGCTAATGTCTAGATATTCTTGGGTGTCCTTGATGTTTGTTTTGTAGAGAGGTGACATACAGGAGCCATGGCATGACTGTACAGGTCAGAGGTTAGCTCTCTCCTTCCACTGTGTGGATCTCTAGGATCAAACTCAGGTCATTGGGGTTACCCACTGAGTCATCTTGCTGCCCTCCCCTTCCCCACTTGGTACCTTTTTATACCTGAGTAGAGGTCAGTTATGTTCCAGGGAAGTTTTAGAAAAGTAAATATCTATAAAGAAACAGCGCCTATGAGCTGACGAACAGGGATTAGGTTTCTTACATTGTTTCTTGCAATGCAACTTTATTGGGACCATCAACCTTCACTGAAGCAGCCTCACGGACTTCCAGGGTTTCCCTGTCCAGTGGGGCCACTCATTTGGCAAGAGAATAGTGAAACCTTGGAAAGGTGGGACAGAGTCCTCCACACACGTGTGTGCTTTAGAAAAGAGACAAACAGATGTCTAGCCTTTATTTTTATGTACAAATCTTTCCACTTTACTGAAATTTTTATGTGTTTCAGAAACAAAGTACAGGCTGGCTTCAATCTTGTTAGGTAGCCGAGCATGACCTTGAACTTCTGATTTTGCTTCCTCCACCTCCCAAGGGCTGGGGCTGCAGGTGTGCACAAGTGTGTCTGGCTAGCTTTATTTAAAATGTGTCACATTTGTTAGATAAAAAAACTAATATAAGATCAAGTATGTGGTAAATATGAAATCTGTAAAAGGTACAAATACATACATATACATAAGGTGGAAAGTTGAATGAAAACAAAAAAAATATAACGATCACCCTGGGGAGACAGAATTTTACTTATTAACTAATTTATTTTTCATTTTTCTGGTTTGTAGCTAAGCAGCCTGTAGAAGCTAAGCAAACTCTCCTATACTAAGTTATAACCCAGTCCAGTTTATTTTTCCCCCCTGCCTTTTCTAATTAGGTATTTTAATTCCACATATATGTGCAGAGAATATGCGAAGATAGTGTGATCATATATTACTGCCCAATGAGAAAAGCACTTCAAAGGAAAGCAGCCATGGAGAATAACGACCAGGACCTCATAGTCTTCCAAAGTAAGTATAAATCACAAGAATGAATGACAGTATTCATTTTGCTGCTTCCTCCTGGTCGACTGAGATCATTGCCAACTTCAGATACCACAGCTAACTGGAAAGAGCTCCCCTGATCTTCGTGGAGGATTGTCAGAGGCTGAAGCCAGTCTCTCACCTGAGAATCCCTTAAAGGTCTTTAATTTCACTTTGCAAGTGTAGGACTTTAATAGAAAGTCCCCAGCAGGCTAACAATGCCTCAGTCCTAGCCCTTCCTTGGTGTCGCTGACAGAGAACAGCACCCAGTTAACAATATACTTCACTGAGGGGAGTATGGAGATGGCCGTATTCTTTTAAAAGACAGTAATAACACTAACACAGGTCATTTTCATCCAGTTATTAAGAAAACTGCATATCATATCTTTTTAGAACAAATTCTTATGAGGCCTTACTCTCTGAAGCACTGCTGAGTTGCGGGCACCATCCAGTCTATATAACCCACGTGTCTTACATTCCTTCACCCCTGTGAGCCTCACAGTGCTCTTGGCTCAGGAGAAGACAAACTGACCAGTCAGGACTAGATAGGCAAGCACACAGTTATGCCCACCCTCCCTTCTACATTACAGTCCTCCAATGTCGATTCAGAATATGGAATTCCTAACTCATACTTTAGAATTATTCTTATTTGTGGTCGCATAGCTTTGACATTATTTTGATTATACACATGTTTTTGTGGCTGTATCTCAGACCATTATAAGGATGAAGATGCTGACGTAATCATTTGAGACTCCGAGATAACAAACCTGCTTTATTTTTAGCCGACAGAGCTCCTGACTGAGTCACAAAAGTGAAGTATATCCCACAGAGGACAAGCAACCTATTTCTTCAGACCATTCTGGAATCATCTAGACTCCCAACTCACAGAGAAGACACGGGACGGGACTGCGCTATGGCTTCATAGGTAAAGAAAACCAGTTACTCACAAGTTGTAAAGATGTCAAATGCTTTTTCCACCATAAATACTTCTGGTAGGCCGGCCCCATGGCACACAGTCCGTAGTAGGAATACATGACCACATGCACGGCTGTGTTTAAGAAGGCATGGAATGTTCCCAGACCACCTGAGAGAGAAGATGTCAGTGTCATTGTTTATCTAAGTTTAGACGGAAGAAGAAAAACACATCAGAAATAGCAGTTCTGCGCAGCAGCCATCAGGCTCAGGGTTCAGGAAAACGTTTGGTCAAACGCAAAGAAATCTTACGAAATCAATGAGCATGTCGTTCTTTGTTCTGTTTTAGTCTCAAGCTACGCCTGCGATTTGAGTTTACTTTGAACAAATTAGGCTAATATCTTAAAAATGCTGCATCTCTTAATAAGAATCAAAATGTATTTTTAGGGAAGGTTAACATTTATAAGGTGAAAAAATTATCTTAATCTTAAATGTACAAATTAAAATGTCTCATATACTTAGAACCTACTTAGAATTCTCATAACCACCACAAATATCAAGACACAGAATACTCAACACCACCAAGGCCTCTTTGTGTTGTCTCATGAACGCATCCCTCTAAGGTGACCATTATCCAATTTCTATCATCAACTATTAATTTTGCCTGCTAGTACATTTCACATAGAGAGGACCACACAGCGTGGACTCTTCTATTCCCGCCTCCTTTCATACAACACAATGGCTTTGAGTTTCTTGCATGTTGGTGCATACACCAATAATTTGTCTTTTCCCCGCTGTTCAGTATTATGCATATAAATGCATCAATATTTATCCGGTCTCCTATTGGAAGCCATTTGGGTTGCCTCTAATTTGGGCTCTCATGAGTAATGCTACAGACATAATCATTGTATGGAATCAGGTTTCTCTTCCACACTCTCAATACTGTGCAGTAGATATTTTTAGTGCCACAAACATTATGTCAGGAAACCACTGGAAGTCATTAGTAAGCTACGCTAGAACTGCTATAATCAATTATTGTGATTTCAAAATAAATAGTTATTGACAATTAAGCCATCGTTTTAGTGAGACTGCTTCCATTTGATTGTGTTTTTCTCTTTTAATTTCAGCATCTTTAATTAGGAAGAGAAGCAGAGGACACAAGAATGTAAGAAAAGAAGCATTTCAGTTGCCTTCAGCTGTAACAGTCTTTGGTGGAAGGAACAGCAGGATGCTTCGCTGATGGTGAAGGAAGAAAAGCCCCACCCAAAGTTCCTCCCTAGGGTTTCTTTTCTGAGGTGTTCAACCTAGATAAGTCTGCCTTATGCATGATAAGGTTGACCTGGAATTTAAATTTTTCTACAAATTAATCCATTTCATCAATTCTAGAAGTCTTCAGTTCCAGAAATAACCTAAAACTTGCAACTAATTATGGTAGAACTACTAACTCATAGTCACTTTGAATTGTCTGTGGAAAAGGCATTATAAAACACAAGCAAAGCAGAATGAATTACTTTATGTGCACTCATTTGTGTGGAGAGTGCATGCATGCCCCAGCACACATGTGGAGGTCAGAGGACAACTCTTGGCCGTCAGTTCTCTCCTTCCACCATGTGGGTTCTGAGAATAAAACCCGGGCCATCAGGCTTGGCCTAAGAGGCAGGCGACTTTGCCAACAGAGCCATTATTTTAAAATAATTATTCATAACTGCATTAATTCCGAATGTTTCTAGATACTATTATTGCTAAAGTATTCCCGCTAAAGAACACACTTTAAATAATTAGGTCATATTCGTCTAAAGCCTCATGCTACCGTGTACTTCATAGACTTTAAACAAATCGCAGTTAATTCCTTAATTATCACAAATTTCCAAAGCAACACTATTAATAAAGCATGCCACCATCCTCTCATCTTTTATCATTTACTTCTGGATTAATCTTTCTACCCCACAAGAAACCTGGATAAATTCTAAGGGAGGGGACACGCCCTTTCAGGGTAACTAACCAATAGAGTAGCTGCCTATTCCTGAACTAGCTCAGGAGTCAGGCTGATTCCTGGGAGGGCAAAGGAAGATTGCGCATGCTCATTTGTGCCCAGCAAGAACACAGACAGGAAGTACGGCTCAGCTGTCACAAGGGCTGTGTCGAGCTCTTTCTCACGAAGACACCACTTTCTCCACGTTACCTTCACCATTTAAATCAGTGGGTTCTCGACCTGTGGGTCGCAACCCCTGAGCATCTCAACCCCTTTCACAGGGGTCACCTAAGACTGTCCTGCCTATCAGATATTTATATTACAATTCCTAACAGTAGCAAAACTGCAGTTATGAGGCAGCAGCAAAAAAAAATTATGAATTATTTATAAAAAAAACAATTCCACCACAACATGAGGAACTGTACTAAAAGACTGCAGCATTAAGAAGGTTGAGAACCGCTGATTTAAATATACTAAACTGAGGATCTTGTATAGGGACTAGCATGGATTAGGAATTAGTTAAGAGGGTTAAATCAAAGAAGAGTTGCTGAGCAAAATAAGTTGCCAAATGAAACTCAGCTTACTTATTTTCTCTAATGATTGCTTTCTGACATATTATTGTAGTAAGTTTGTTAATAAAACAATCACATTCTAATTAGTAATGCTTTTTTACTCTTCTCGTCAGAAGGCTTTTCAAGTGAAGCATTGCTTTCTTTACAAGAATGGGCCTGAAAAGCAAGCATCTCAGAATGAGTTACGAGTAGTTACCTCAAATATTACCTCTTTTGGTTTGGAGAAAAATAAAAGAACCACCTGGGTAATTAAAATAATTCTCTACATTTCCCAAAGGGGTAGTACATAATTAATAGAAAAACCTGCCCTGAAAATATTTTCCTCCTACTATAAGGGAAATTTGGGTTGCTATTATCCCAAAAGAGAGAGCAGAAGGCGGTAAGAAGTCAAACACTAAACAGATTGTCTGTGTTCCAGTATCTGCAAAGATTCGTTTAAACAGACAGGCTTGTCCTAGGAACATAGCCCTGGTCAAACCACACTTCTGGAAACAAATCCTGTTGCTGGGCTCACTAGTGAAAAGGCAGTGCAAAAGATGTAGGCGTGTTGACAAGAACCCCACACTTAAGACTAATCCGATCACCAGCTCACAGAGCACACCAGAGACACAAAACATTCTCTTTTTACCTGGACCACTCTTTAAAGGAGATGGGAATTAAGGTGATGAGGCAAGACACTATGACAAAATGCTTGACGTCCATAGACATGGGACATTTCAAACCCAAGGGCATCCTTGCTTGAATCTGCATTTCTTGAAAGTATTACTTGTTTTGAAATGGAAGCTAGACCATCGACCATCAACGGAGTCAAACAAAGGAGAGAAAAACCACTCGATTCCATTCTTTAAATAAAATGTATGTTTCCTACAGTGGAATTAGTAGATATTCAAAACGGGAAGAAGGGAGACCACAGAAAGGATAAAGAAGCCGAGGGGAACACTGCGGCTTTGGTGTCTTCAAACCACCTGTGTGTATCTGGGAGCACTGCCTTCCAATTTTTTCTCCCACGTCTTTTTCAGAGTTGTGATGTAGTATATAGAGTTCCTCAAGGCCCATGAGAGGGAGGTTTCAAAATTCCCTGGTGGAAATTCAAAGCTACTTACAGAAAACAGTGGATTGAATGTACAGAATCTGCGCACATGCTCCCACAGACTTTATAATAGGAAACCACGTGCATGCAATGGGAGCACTTCTGTACCGTATTGCTTAGAGAATAATGGCAAGGAAAAATATCAGTATATGATTTAGTACAGGAGCAGTTTCGCTTTCATGGTTTTAATCTCTGGTTGGGTGAATTCAGGGATGCAGAGTCCACAGATATGGAAGTCCAGCTATATTCTGGTGTTATGGAAAAGACAGAAATAAACTAAAGGGAGTGAGACTACCTCTATTAGTATCTTAAAAAGTAAAGTAGTCACTTTTGATCGTTAGCAGTCACGGGGTTAATGGAAAGGTTTACACAGGTACTTCTCTGTATCATTTTATTTTCATGCCTTTAAACACACAAGACATTGTAACCGCACTAGGACTGGGTATGGAAATCATAGCTACCCTAGGGGGCGTGTGTTGAAGAATTTTCCAGTTTTTCATAAATGTAAGTAAGACGTTAGTTACACTAACGTCTCACTTAAGAGACCTGAGGGACTCGATATGCATTTGAGAGAAAGCAAAAATAAGAAACTTTCAGATGAATTATAATAATAAAGGTTTAAAATTATGGGTATCTGTGACTTCTTGATGTTAAAAAATAGGATGAATAATTCTTGCAGCAGTTTGCTAACCCAGAAATACATGCTTGAAGACTTTGTTTATTTCAAACTTTATGAAACAATAAAGTTACTGTTTACTTTTTCCTTTCTAGGTGTTCAGACATAGAAAACCAAAATGAATTAGACACTTAGGCTCAAGCTTTTGGTTTAAACTACCTCTCTCTGACCTAAAAAAAAAAAAATCTAAAACCAAAATGTGTCCTGTGACAGACTGCTTTGGGAAGCTGAGCAATCACAATCTGGCTCATCTTTGAAGTGTTTTGGTGTTGTCTGCCACATCTTAGATGTGGCACAGTGTTCATGTGCCAAAAGCTTTGTCTCCAATGCAACTGGAGTGATAGGTAGTGGAGCCTTAAGAGATGGAGCCTAGTGAGAGGCGATTAGATCAAACCCTACAGATTATAGGTCAGGACATACTCATGTCTCTTGCTTTTGTCTTTTTATGCCTCTCTGTTCTCATCCTCTGTGTTCACCCCCTGTCTCCTCTCTCTCTTCCCCTTGCCAGTTCTGCCATATGCCATATTACACTGCTAGACTTTCCCAAACAGATAATTCTGCCCAATCTTGAACATTCAGCATCCAAAACCACAAGCAAAGCAGAACTCTTTTCTTCACCAGCCTCCAGTAATCTTAGAGCAACACAGAACAGACTAAGAAGGGGTATGTAGGGTGTCAGGAATTTGAAGGCAAAGAAAACATAGAACTGAAGATATTATTCTGACTCTCTGTGAACAAACTCGAGATATTATTTAAGTAGATATCAATGAACCCAAAACTTTTGATATTTTAGCTTTTTATTCATTACCGATTTCATTGAAAAACGTCATAGAACTCTAAAGGGAAACCAAAAAAACTAAACTAAAATAAACTAAAGACTGCATAGAAGGTCTTAGTCAAAAGTCTTCATGTCTGAAGACTTGGGGTGGGGATCTAATTAAGAGTCCTACATTTGTACTTCAGACAATAATTTCAAAGTCAGAAGTTTAACCAAACTGGCGCTTTGATTTTTTTTTTAAAAAAATTCTTATAAATTTTATTTAAGGACAGAATTTGTGTTTGTAGCACACGGAAATGTCAACACATAAATCACATGACCCCAGCTCTCCCTTTTCTACCTGCAGCAAATTTGACTCCAAACCACCAGGTCCACGGCATGATTGTATGATGGAAGACATGAAGGAAAGTCACTTGGTTATTTTTCTTACGCAGAACAAAAAAGATCTGAAATGGTTTAAAGAAAATCAAGTTCATTAAAACTAAGCAATAATTTATTGAGCGTTACAAAAGTATTGGTAAAGAGTAAACAGTTTTACAATTAGCTGTCTATGGGTTGCTTTGCAGGGTGTTGGCAGGGGCAACTGGTTCTCCAGGATGCTGTTCAAAGGCGAACCAACATGCATGAATCAGGTATGATACATAATCAATGAGAGAACCAATAAGAAAGTAAGAAGAAAAAGGTTTGTGCAGATTTGAAAATCAAACATATACAGTGAAAACTCTGGCCAGAACCTATTGAAAAAAATACTATTGATAAAAAGTAAATAAATAAAAATCTTACTAAGTTTTGACCTACATGACAGCCAGAAGTTCAGCCGTAGTTCCTAGGGCTGAGATTATTTCATTCTAATTGCTCTCTAACACATTCTACAGTAAGAGGATAGGCAAACTGAGAGCGGACTTGAAAACAAACAAATAAACAAACAAACAAAAAGAATATATTACCAAAGAAAAACAAATGGTGAAAATATTTAAGAGTTAATCTGAAAAATACTGTGGACAAGAAAGCAAAGCTGCATATGAAAATTAAGAAAGGCAACAACGGGACCATTGCGATTGCGCATGCCCAGTGGTGGCTTGCTACAAGAGAGCAGTTTGTGGAGGAGGGGGGGCCGGGTGGGGCGCTGGGTGTTCAAAGAATGCGCTAACAGAAAAGTTCACAGCACCAGAGTAAAGTTAGACTTTCAAATTCAGAGCGTAACACAAAGCATTACTGTGTCAGGAAAACTTGGACGGCCTCAAGGCGGAAACAATTTCCTTATGGAAGTTGCTGCTGAGAATAAGCAAAGCAGAGTCAATAAAGCCAAACGCATTTGCTTAGGCACATGAAAGAGCACAGCCCGGTGCAACATAGGGGTCATAAACTTCCAGTATGTCTCTGGGTAAGCCTCTCAACTTTTTAGGCCCTTTATTACCCCCTGAGTGAGGATTCTGAACTAGATCAATAGATCCCAAATGTGGCTGTAAGTTACAATATGAAAAAAATAATTTGAAAATACCCATGTGGACTCTTTACTCCAGCCCACAGGACATCAGATCTCAAGAGATGGGGCCTGCGTGCTTTGTTTTGTTCTTGATGCATGTAATGGTAAGGCACCTGAATGATGAACCATGAGTCTATGGCGAGCAGCTTCTCAAAGATCATCTGAGAAACTGTCAGAAAAGGGAATTGCCGAGCTCCACCCAAGACCTACTGAATCAGAGGCACTAGGAAGTTCAAGCATCATTTGTGCCTCACAAGTCCTCCTTGGTTTTTGTTTTGCTTTGTTTTTCCTCTTTTCTTTCCTTTCCTCTTCTTTTCTTTCTAAAGATAGGACAGGGCTATGTAGCCCAGGCTGGCCTCCAACTTGTGGTCCCACCTCAGCCTCCTGAATGCAGTCTTCTCTCTAGGCAATTTTAATGCATGCTAAAATTCGAGAAGCCCTGGATTTTAACTCCTCCAAAGTCCCTCCTCAACCTAACGCTTTACGATTAATCAACTAAGAGTGAAAAGTGTTGACATTTCTTCTGATCAACAGTGTGGTGATGTGTGTTCCAGACATACTTCTCAGCAAAGACAGCATAGATTTCCTGTGTAAGCAGGAAACCAAAACTCTGGCTTTCCACTTCAGAGTCCACAAACCCCTGGGCCCAAAGGCTCAAGGTCCAAAGCTGACCCTCACGAGGACCCAAAGCAGGGAGAACTAGGACCCAGCAACTAGAGATAGCAGTTGTGTTCCTCAAATTACTGTCACGTCACAGATAATATCACATTTTGCTATGAGCTTATGAACTGTGATGCTTATGTGTCTTACAGAGCATGGCAGACACCGTGCTTTGGTGTAACGCAATAGGGTCCCTGCTCTGCTTTCTGAACTGCTTCATAAAGAGCTGTCATCGTCTACACCAAGGTGCCCAGTTCTACAGAGAAAGTGGCCATTAACCCGTTTGTCATAGTCAGGTAATACCTACATGTTTGGAAGAACGCAGTTAAAGGTTGTGACGCGCTGGAAAGCAAGCTTTCCAAACACACAGGTAAGTACAGGAAAAGGGGATCCAAGTAGGCTAGCCAGGGGAGGGGAGATGAGCAAAGGGATCCTAGTAGGCTAGCTAGCGGAGGAGAGATGAGCAAAGGCATGTGACAGCAGCACTAGCATGTTTATTGTTTCAGGGAGACAGGGAGCAGTTGCTGAACGTGTGGGCCACATACTCACAGTGTCTAGCAGCTCAATAAATTTGGAGAAGTAATAAAGCCAGCAGGTGTGTACCATCTGTGGAAATAGGCACAGAGAAGAATTTATTTATCCAGTATTTAATACGGAAGAAATATTTACTTAAAATGGTCTTAGAAACACATAACAAAATTTGCCACCCTAGTCAACTTTTTAAGGTATAGTTTGGCGGCTTTGATTTCATTTCTGTCCCTCTACAACTGTTACACATCCACCCACAGAACTCCTTCATGCTGAAAAGGTGAAATAATGCTCGTTCAGAAATGATTCCCCGTTTCCCTCTTCTTTTCAGTTCGGCCGTCATTCTACCCTCTGTCCTATGCATTTGACTATTTTGGGTACCACACACAAGCTGGGTCATGTGGTGTTTGTCCTTTTGTGACAAATATACTATGTTAGCACAGTGTCCTCAAGACTCATACAAACTGTAGCTTTTACAGACTGAAAAATATTCTGTTCTTTGTCTGTCTGTGTGTGTGTGTGTGTGTGTGTGTGTGTGTGTGTATGGAGGAAACATTTTGTTTAGCCATTTGCCATCCATGAACACTTGGACTGCTTTTACATTTTGGTCATCGTCAATAATGGTATTGTGGTCATGTGTATACAGACACCTATTTGAGTCCCGAACTTTAACCCTTTAGGAATATTGCCAGAAGTGAAATTGCTAGATCTTATGAAAATTCTATTTCTCATCTTTCAGAAATCAGGTAAGTTTTAAAACTCAAGACATTTAAACAGAACTAACAGTCATTTTATAGAATTTATACAGCATACTTGTTTTAATTCTTTCTTATAATTTTAGCTTCCCCTCAATTAATATAATCTGATAATCGAGTCATTCACTCATTCTGAATTCATATTCAATATTGCAGAGTCCAAGGGATTTTCACAATGGCATTAAATACCAGATTTTCCCAAAGAGGAACTTACCCTCATGGCTCTGGGTGACTGAGAATAGTCAACAATGTCACATCGAAACGAATAGCCTGTCCCCCAGCCGGACATCACAAACTGGAAGAAAAACATGCATGGTGAAGACAACGCACTTGCTAACAGCACAACAAAGGTGGTTTTGACTGCACCTTGCTGCATGACCAGCTGAGCAAGCAGGCAACGCAGGGGAAGAGGCAGCGAGAACCAGGACAAACTGAACACGCTGCAGGCAGAAGCTTGGCACCAGGCATTCTAAAAGCCACAAACGCACACGCTACTTATATGAACTGCATTCTGACTACTTTGCCCTTTCCTTAGGAGGATTCCTTTAACACAGCGAAGGACAAAACTCTGGGAGTGTTTTGCTTAATTAGCAAGTATTTCCTATGTCCACCACATATGTGTGTGCTCATGTACTTAAGGGAGAGTGCCTGGCTCTGTTTCCTCTGATCATTTCAAATCTTCCCAATTAATCAGTAAGTGTTGAACAAACCAAAACCTGGCCATGTGCCAAAAGGGTGACCATGGCCTCTGTGCTCTTCCTACCCGTAGCTGGTAAGTACACTATGAGATGGCAGTGCCTGGCTCTGGTGCTCTCCTCCTTTAATATAAAAACCAGCCACATACAGGTCTGATACCAGTTGCACTTTGAATTCACAAGACAAATAAGGGAAGACAATGCTCGTTACTAACTGGAGCATAAGCTGGCAGGCGGTCATTCCAGCACACCCACAAAATGACCTTCTACTGGTGTTAAAAATAAAAGCCTATTGTTGATAAGTCTGAATTGTAATTCAAAGATCATATTGACATTCTTTTAGTTTGATGGTGGGAAGATCTTTTAAAACAGTAGCTACAAATGAAAGCCAAGTGCTTGATTTTAGTTAATACATATATATCGTGGTTGGGCTGATTTCGGGTAGGGACAATAACATCCCCCCCTCCCCGTTTACTGTGACTCTTATCTGTGTTAGGATAAGGGGCGAGCTAGTCACCAATTTAAATAAATAGCTCTTGGGGCGAGAGCAGTGGTTCTCAACCTTCCCAATGCTGTGACCCTTTAATACAGTTCCTCATGTTGTGGTGACCCCCAACCACAAAATTATCTCATTGCTACTTCATAGCTATAATTTTGTTACTGTTAGGAATCATAATGTAAATATCTGATATGCAATTCCTGTGAAAAGGTCTTTTGACCCCCAAAGGGGTGAGGACCCACAGGTTGAGAAACAAAGGGGTAGTGCATGGCATCAGAGGAAATGAGTCTAAGCATGACAGAAATGGCATTGTTCACTGACTCGAAGATTCTGAGAAACAGAATTCACTGTTTTTGTCACATTCCGTTGTTACTTTGAAAAGATCTGTTGACTTGAATTTTTCAGGCATTTTAAAACCATGAATTGCATATCCTATACTTTTCTGAGTCTTAATGTTCAAGATCTCATAGGCTTTCCAGAGCTTATACTGCCTTATCTTGCAGAGTAAGTGTGAGGACAGAGAGAGGGGATAGATTTTAAACACCTTAGTTAAATTTGTTCTTTCTACTTTCCCCTTCCTTGTGTATATTAAAATATCATCTTGACTGATTTCTGATGATGGGTACTTGTTATCATAACCCTTAGGAGCCTGAGACAAGAGTCGTTAAGTCTGAGATTAGCCTGGGCTGCATAGCAAAACTCAGTCTCCAAAAATAAACATACATAGTGCCTGATGTGTACCTAGCTCCCTCCATCACAAGAAGACAGCCGGCTTTCTTCAGTACGGCATTGTACTCTTCCTCTTGCTCACTTTTGGCCAAACAAGCCTGGCGGAGGCATTTACTTTGAAAACCCGACCAGATCTTGCTCCGTACCATAAAGTGTACCTGTGCTATGCTGTTGTCAACAAAGAGTACACATCTTAGTTAAAGTTAAAAGTGTGTGTTCAGGATGGACTAACATTTCCCTGATGCTGCGTTTAAGGACACACCAATAGCCTGTGGAGGTTTTGACAGCTATCCCTCTCTCCCGGGCTAGTAAAGAAAATATTAATGGTTTGTGTTCAGCAGGCAGTACATTCAGAAATTATAACTCAAAGGTTCGTGAAGACAGAAATTCTCTGATTCCGATATTTTTTTTAACCTTCTTTTATGATGCAATTGACAAAGCAGGAGCCAAAGCTAACTGGTTACTACTGTTTGGGGTCATCACAAACAGTGACACTGTCAAATACAGAACCTGAGAATACCAGAACATTCTGGAACCCGAGAGAAAAACTAGGTCAATCCTGTCGTTACAACCTAAAAGACCTGAGGCCTAGAGAAAAAGTAACATGGTCAAAATGAGGCAGCCTGGGTTCCTAGCTGCTCTTAATCTCTCTTGAATGTATAATCCCTCTCTGAACATATGAGCAGCCTGTTCACAGTCTAGAGGACGGAAGAGTAGTGGCCTGTGGGTAAAAGGCAAGAGCAAAGACGAGACAAGCAGCAGAATGAAGCTAGACTTGAGAGCGGCCTTGTGGAGAAAGGGGGAGCAGAGATTTTAGGTGATTGGACCAGGTCATCTGCAGCAGGAGTGAGGCTGGTGTTACAGGGGCCAGCAAGGCCAGCAAGGCTCCTCTTAGACCCCAGGTCTGAGCAAGCGCAGGTACGCTAGAAAGAAAATAAACAGAAGGAGGAAGACAGCCGGGGTTGGAAATACACCAAAGAACTCTGGAGAAGCAGGTATGTGAGGACAGCTGAGACATGTGAATGGCAGAGGCAGGGAGCAAATCCACAATCTGCCTGAGTTCTGGAAGCTTCCTATATCTTTCACAAGGGACAGGACTTTACAGCCTACGACTCCATGGGAGTCCATGTTCTTCTTTGCCTCAAATCCTCTAAAACCTAGACAGACGGTCATTGTCGAGCTCACCAAGCAGAGTAACCACAAGTTCCCACCGGGATGGGACAGACTGTTACCAGGACGAGAGCTCTAGAGTCAACTGGACCCATCGTCTTCCAGGCCTAGCCCTGCACTTACCGGCCATCACTCTGAGTTCAGGAGTTATTTCTCTGAGCATGAGCTTCCTCAAAACTAACCTTTATCATGTGCGAATCTCTGAGCTAAGTGTTATTTTTTTTTTCTCACTATCCATGATAGAAACTATCCTGAGATCCTTGGGTTTAGTAGTTTATCTAGACAGTACAATTTTGGTATTTCTGTTGCTCTTAACACCTGCTTAGTTTCTAAGTTCTTCAATTCTCAAAATAAAATAAAAATTAAAAAGAGGGGATGTTCCATAGTCATAACAAAAACATACTGACATATACACAAAAGACTCAGGCAAACTTTTCCCATTAGGAATACTGAAGACACTTGCCTCATAACACATATACACAGAAAACAGTACTATGAAAAAATTGTACGTTATCATCGCTTTCCTGAGTTCAAAGGGCTTCCGATTCTCCATGAGCTTTGGTCCCAGAGATGTGACAAAATAGACATAGAGCCCCAGGATGATGGTTTGTGGCAGAGGCGAGGACATGAGGAGCCAGTCTTCAACTCTTGGATCTAAGAGAAAGATAACAGGTAAGTCCACAGCCACTTAACCCCGAGACAACAGACAGCAACCTGTATCCCAGTGCTGACAGCGCACCACTGAACACTCCCGAACATCCTTATCCTTAGGAAGGGTGACAGGAGAAATCCCTAGGAACAGTAAGGCTGTCATCATCTTTCAATCTCAAAGGGCAGGAGGTATTTGTTACCAGAACCTGAGGGAGAATCTCTGAAAAAGCCCTTCTGGAGGAACCATGCTATGGATTGAATTCTGCATCCTCTTCGAAGTCATGTGTTAAACCTGGGATGGTGGGGCCAACATGGGATCCCAGCACTCAAGAAATGGAGACAAGAGAATCAGAAGTTCAAAGTCATCCATGGCTACACACCAAGTTTGAGGTCAATCTCAAAAAAGAGTAAAAGAAATAAAAACAGTGTGTTGAAATCTTAGCCCATAATGTGATGGAAGCAAGAACTTTTCACCAAATAGAGATAGTATCACGAAAGGGACCCCAAGAAGCGCTCCTGCTATCAAGGCAAGATAACAGTGACCTGGGAGAGCATTCGCCAGAGCCACACAGTACTGTACTGTGGTCTCAGATACAATTTCTCCAAGCTCTAAGCAGTGGGTATAAGCAGATCTAGAGGAGATGCTTCGCTATCTGCGACCACGATTGACATTCAGAAAATTTCCACCCTACACAGGCATGGTGGTGCACTCCTGTAATGACAGCAATTGGGAGGTGGCAACAAGAGGTCAGGAGTTCAAGGCCAGCCTGGGATAAAGAGACTCCCCCATCTCAAACATATTTTTTTCATCCTGATAGTCTTTTGCATTTAAAATTGTGTTTGTATTTGCTGCTTAGTCATTCTCTTGGCTTCCTAACAAAACTGACATACTTTCTCAGGTATTATATCGTAGAACCACAAGACTGAAAAGGATGGTGTCAATATCTAACTGTCTAAAGTATATGTCCTAGGTGTCCAAAGTGTGAGCCAGTAAGTCTGCTATTTTGAACCAAATAAAACAGGTAATGACCTTACAACCACATAAACGTAAGTTGATCCAGTTCTTGCTGGCTCCAGGCTAGCAGGATTGTGGCATTTCAAAATTGCAATTAAAAACCAACTGTGGTCCATTCTATAATTTCAAGCACTTGGGGTGTAATTTGACCAAGTGACCTCATGAAGCCAGAGTGGTACAGAGGAAAGTAACCACGGGCAGCTTCCGAGAGCATCTGACTCGGTTCAGCATAGAACATCACCTTCCTTACCGGGAAAGAGGACCTGGAGCACGCATCCCCGTCCTTCTCAATCACCAACAAGAAAGCCTGTAACCAATAAACCTTAGCACCCCTGTAGGTCGCTCCAAACCTCTTCACTAGAACCACATGACTGTCCACTCATCAGCCTCACTTTCAGTGCTGGAGATGTTCCATGCCGCAGGTGACTGTTCAGGACTTTAGCCAGTAAAGGTGACTTAGCCTGTTCTCAAGCGGGTCTCACTCAGAAATGCCAGCACATGCCCTCGTCTCAAACAAGCAAAGCAAGCCGAAGAGTAAACAGTCAACTCAAAAACCAACGCCAGATGTTCAGGATTCGATCTTCTTATCTGGCTGTTCTTTCAGAGGACCCAGGTTTAATTCCTAGCACCCACAAAGCAGCCTCACAATCACCGACAACTCCAGTAAGTCATTCTCCAGCCTCGTAACAATGCCAAGTTTTCTACAACAGGATTTCTGGCCATCACTGGCAATCACACTAGGGACCTGAACACCACAAGGGGAGTTTCAGAACGTCAAAGTGTATCACAGACCTGGGAATCAAGGCACGGAATGAGAGCTGATCAGTCTTAAATGAATTCCGTCCCCTGCAGGTCAATGCAAACCTTAATGCATGAATGTCATAAAGCCAATGTCTAGCTTTTTATTGTTTTATTAATATGTCTAGCTTTTATTCCTAATATAATAAAGACTAATGAAACCAGCACTAAAGGAAGAGCCCTGGAGAGCTGCAGTCGCCTTAACAGCTTGGCTAAAATATGGGAGGCTTCTGGTTTCTTCTTCACAGGCAATGGCAAAAGCTTTGGCTGTTGTTCGTCACCTCCAAATACGGTTTTCAAACAAAAATGCTTAAGTGTCAGTAAAGGTACTTCTTCATCAGAGATATCTTTTGTTTTATTCTTTCACTGACTTGGCAAGGGAAGAAAAATCAAATGACATCATCCTCCTGTTCCTCCTCTGTTAGCAACAGAAAGAAAACAAGCCAAGAAAAGCAGGCTAGGCTAGCTCGGGAAGACCAAGAAAATCATTTCCAAATAAATCCTTTCTTCCTGTGATTGAACTTTTACAGCACACACCTTTTCTTAAAGCCCCGTAGACTTTCAAGTTCTACAAGTAAAAAGTTATTATGGGAAAAGCTTGTTTACTTCGTTCAATGTTATTTTCAAAAAATAAAATAACAAAGAAATTTTTAAAGTGTATGTTTGCGTGTACAAAGGAACACACATTTGTGTGTTCATGTGAGGAGGCCAGAGGTGAACCTCGGGGTCATTCATGAGAAATGATCCATTTGGTTTTTCTGTGATTTGGCTAGGCTGGCTAGCCAGGAAATCTGGGGATCCCCTGTTCCTGCTTCCCAGAGCTGGGATTCTAGGCATGGGCCGCCATTCCGGGCTTTTCACATGGACGTCAGTGAGTAGACACAGGTCTTCATGGTCGCACCACACACAATTTGTACGCACTGAGCTGTTTCTTTACCTGCCCTTTTTATACCAGGCTCTGAAAATTGTAGTACAGCAAAATTCTAGAGGCAGACAGTCAGTGCCGTGACCCCGTCCTTCTCTCTGGCCCTTTATGCCATCTTAGGTAACTGACTCAACCTCACTGAGTGTGAATTGGGCATAAAACGAGTATTTCACAGAAACTTGGGTGAAGTTTGCAAAGAGCATACACACTTAGTAAGCTTGCTATTGTCATTACAGTAGATCTCAAATCTTTAATCATGGCTGAATCACCTCTGTAGTATTTAAAAGTTCAATATTCCCCCACCAAAAAAAATAACCTTAATCCAATTGAATCAGAGTCCTAAGTGGTGGGTAATGGGCATATAAGCTTTTAAAATCCAGCCATAAAAAAATGACAAAGGACTTAATTTTTCAAAAGAAGAAACACAAGTGATCAACGAATGCACAACATCACTAATTAGCAGGAAGATACAAATCAGTACCAGAACACGACATCACCTACCACTTGTAGGGCTGCAGCATCAAACAAACAAAGCTAATGAGTACTGCTGGAGACAGGGGGGAGGGGGAACCCTGTGCACTCACGATGAGACCTTAAATGAGTCCAGCCGCTAGGAAAAACCACATGGAGACCCCATTAAAACCTAAAAGTAGAATGATCGTAAGTCCAGCAATCTCATTTCTGGAAACTGTTGCGGCTACCAACTGTCAGAACCACTGCGGTGTTAGTCACAACAGCCGACGTGTGAGATCTACTCGGTGGTTCCTCATCAGATGGATAGAGAGAACAGTGGAAGTGGGGTATCATTTGGTCTCTCAAAAGAAGGAAAGCATGTCCCCTGCAACCTCTCTGTAAGTGGGACAATACTTTGTTATGTTAATTGAAATAAGTTGGACTCAGAAAGCAATACCCAGTCTTATACATAAAATAAAGGGTGTTAAGGCTCTGGACAGACAACAAGGAGAGAGATATGTTGGGTACAAATTTTTGTTTGTTTTGTTTTGTTGAGACAGGGTTTCTCTGTAGCTTTGGAGCCTGTACTAGAACTGGCTCTGTAGACCAGACTGGCCTTGAACTCACAGACATTCACTGGCCTCTGCCTCCCGAGTGCTGGGATTAAAGGCATGCACCACCAAAACCCAGCTAAGACAGGTTCTTAAGCATCACATACTACATCAAAGAGTACACATTTTAAAATTCTAAATATCAACAGAATGAAGAAGCTGAAAGGGAAGGGAGACTCATTCCACATCTCCTTTCTGATATACCAAGAGTTCAGAGAGGCAGGGGACCCGCTCATCCTCCATATTCTTGCAAAGCAAAGCAAGCTTGCACTACCTGAAAGTGAGCACTTCCATTCAAACACACATAGAGCTGCTTTTGTATTTCTCCTGAAATCAAAATGCTACTATAGTATGATTTTAGAATCTAGCATTCCTTATCAAAGAATTGCGATAAATTCCCTTACATATTAAGCTGCCAAAAAAACAACAACAAAAACAAAAAACAAAAAACAAAAAAACTGTGGCCGTGGAATTTTCCACATGAGATAATCAGGCATGACCACCACTTCTGCAGAGATCAGAAAACTAGCAACAGTCAGTTCTCCCAAGGCCACGCAGGATTAGGGCCAAAGCCAAGAATACCCTTGAAATTCTTGGCTCTTGCTTGTGTATTCAGCTCTTCCCAGGGTACGAAAAGCAACACTAATGCCACTCCAGATCAATACCACACTAAATACAAGAAGAACTCCCCTGCTGCGCTGGACAGCCTTTTCACAAAGTTGTACATCCTGATACAAATCCTTTTAACTCTGCTAGACCTTGACAAGAAAAAGAAAAAGAAAAAGAAAAAGAAAAAAAGAACTCAAGTGATTTGTTACCTTAAAAGTATCTAACATAATTTGTAACATCTCGATCTATTTGTGTCAGGACACTTCCCCGGTAACAGAATATTTTCTCACATCTTCTGCAGTCCCTGACAGGTGCTATTCCCACCCTTGTTTTGCACACACACACACACACACACACAAAGAATTTGTTCAAGGTCACCTAGTTAGTCTCGGGGAAGAGAGGGGCCTGAGTTCCGGCTATTCTTTTTCCTCCTCCCATAGCCTTTCCTCTCCTAAGACTTCAATGAATATTAATTCTGAAGTGTGAGATTTACCTTCACTGTGCCTCTTCCCTCTCTCTTCTTGCCTGCTCCATTTGCATGGTTTCTCCTTATTTTTGACCCCCTAGAATCCTTTGCTACTCCTTTTTTTGACCGAATATTCCTCACTTTTTTGATGGAAGTGCTTCTAACAAAAGGTAAAGAGTTGGTCCACAGATAAAGGTAGAAGCAGCATTCTGGCATAGTTTGTATTAAAATAGTTTGTACTTTCTCCACCATCTGAGTCCCCTTGGCTCTTGTTAAGGTTAAATTAAGATAAGGTTTACCTGAAATTCTTAGGTTCTTGCATTGAGGACAGTGAATAATAAGGTTTGGATGGCACAGGATCTATTTTTCCAAAAAACTCTATTCTACAATCTGTTGTCAGGGCTGGCGAGTTTGGCCAGAAGGTAAGTTGCTTGCTGTCCAAGCCCAATGACCTGAGTTCCATCCCTAGAAGTCACACGAAAGTGTATGGAGAGAACCAACTCCACGAAGTTGTCCTCTTACTGTTACATGTACAATTGTGGTGATATATACATGCAATAATCTTTTAAATTAAATCTAGATCGCCTCAGGTTCCAGGTTCAAATAGTGAGAATTGAGTAAGCGATGTACATCTCTCCTTTGAAATGCAACATTGAATGTTTACATTCAACATTGAATTTGTAGCAATCACTATAAATCAATGGGGAAAGACGATCTCTAAAGAAACTGGTACTTTTTCTGAACCCAGCAACTTGAAACTTTCAGGAAAAGGATTAGATAATAGAGAAAAATCTACTCTATTAGCCCTAACAGAGTCGAGCTTGTTTGTCCTTGGTATTCTTGAGGGACAAAATTATTGGATAAACTTTAGAGACGTAGCATTGCCCTTTAGCAGAATGAGGAGAAAGATGTTGTCCATGAAAGAGTGTCTATGCTGAAATCATTGTAAACTAAGATGCAGCTTCACATGTACTAGGTACATGATGAATTTATGGTTTACTCCAAAGCGATTCTAGTCGTGACTATGTGAAACTTAATAATTACAAATAATGAAATGCTAGAACACTAAACATAATTTAAAAAACAAGAGTTCTAGGGTGATTCTTTCTTTTTTCTTTCTTTATCAACTCACAGTGACTTTGGGAAGGTCACATCTCTGGGTTTCAATTTCTTCAGCTCTAAAACGAGACATTAGTTTTGCTGGTATCTCAGGTCTATCTAAGTTCTAAGGCATTCTGATTCCTTTTATCTTAAAAAATTGCACCTTTGTTTTAATTTTTAAGACTTTTATAGTTTTTTAAACAATAGTACACTGACAAAAACTCATTGTCAGTGAGTTTCAAAACTCACTGACAGACAAAGGACAATCACTCATGAGACCGGGTGGAGCTCAGTTGGAGAGCACACACTCAGCAGGTACAAAGGCATGACCCTGACCACAGTCCCCACCAGCAGACCAAATGACCAAACTGTCATTCACCTTCTGTGGAGAGGTTCAACTCTCCACAGAAGAAACACACTCAATGCTCATGCATGGCTTCCGTTTACTTATTTTAAACTTTGGTGACACAAAATGTTCCAAAGGACCATTTCTATTTTTATTGTTCCCTGCTCTTCCTGCATCACCTCTCGGGGGGCAAGGGCAGTTCTTTCATTCCAGAATCAGCTTGGACTGAACTTCTGTCGGCAGCGTCTATGATTTCCCTCTAGAACATTAGAGTACTGACCCTCCAAAACCATTTTTAAGGGCTACTGGGTTGAGATGTGCCCTCACATATCACCCAGGGCTCTCCTGAGGATAATTCAGTGTCTCCACTACTATGAATGTCATCACGAACATATATGCAGGTTTAGCTATAATGGAACCCTGGGTACAGCTTCTTGGTTAACTAGTAATAAAGGAGTATGAAGTTGTCAAGTCTCTTATTTTGTTCCAAATAAATCCTATTAATGTGGGAATTTGATAAAAAAGGAAAGATGAACTTCAACTGGAAAATCTCATTACTCACCAGCATCTTTGATCCAATTATCGTAAAAACGCACAGTTCTCGATGTAAGATCACTGAACGCCATTTTCCACAAGATTAACTGGCTCTTTTAATGGATTCTTCAGTAAAACAAGGCAGAAATGAGCTTATGATCTATAAATGCAAATAAAAATAAGCTTTTAGTAATACAATATTTAAAATGCTAAAACTTTAATAGGAACTGGCAGGGCAACAAACTCTTACAGAAGGGAAATGCATTAGTGAACCATAAGAAATGCTGACGCAGTCACAGACGCTTGAGACTTTCCATTCTTCTTGAGAGACTGGCAGCCTCGCTGAAGAAGGCTGGCATTCCGTGGATATGATGCAAAAGGAAGACAAGAGTCTAGGAAATCTTATAGGAACATCTCCCTTTCGTGAGGAGGATGAGGGTCAGGGGTAGGCTGTATCACCATGGCAAGGCTGTGATGAATGTCCAGAGTGAGAGAAGAGACCCAAACCTTCAGAGACATGTGCTGATCCGGGCCTTGGGGTCACCTTCAGACCTGATAAAGCCTTCTTTGTGAAAATTTTTGAAAATATTTTTATTTTTTTAACTAAATGTACATGTGCCATTTAAGTGTGAGCGTCAGTGGAAACCAGAGGTGTGGAATCCCTTGTGGCTGGAGTTACAGGCAACTGTGAGCCACTGACATGGGTGCTGGGAACTGAATTCAGGCTTCTCCAAAAACAATATACTCTCAGCCACCGAGTCAGCTCTCCAGTCCCTTAAGTTTTTAAAATATAGAGGTTCTCAGTATTCCTACAGTATTTTTATTAATCATTAAAATAACACCTAGTAATTAAAAAAATAGCGGCATGAGTCAGAAGGCGTGGAGGAAGACCAATAAGAATCAAGGAAAGGAGCTCTATTATTTCAAATGGGCAGGCAAGCATTGTAGAAAAGAGAACTCTTCTGAGGAAGACGGCCAGTGAAGGGAACCAGGCCTGCTGCATGTTATAAGGCGCAATCCATCCCCAGGAACTCAAGCAGTAAGGCACTGTCACACTGACAAATCAATGGGACACCCAGAAACATGTCCAATACGTTTGAGAATTGAAGAGTGCATGTCAGTGATCCTGAGAGGTATTCTTTCCCACACTTTAAGATCGCTAAAATTAAGGTACAACTTACAAACGGTAGATGTGTCCTGAGTCAAAGGCGAAGTGAATCAAAGTCACATAGCAAGAAGATTGGTCCTGTCCCAGAGGTGGATCATACAGCAACGTAAATGTGCTCGATGCTACTGGACTTGGTTGAAAAAAAAAAAACTGCATGCTGTTGGTTTTGTGACACTAACAAAGAGATCCTCTAAGTTTACATCAGGAAGGTTGGTTTTCTCCTAGCACTATAAAACAAAGTTATTTCATCTGTATAACTGCAGAAACAAAATAAGGCATGCATGCAGCATGCTGACACAGGTGTCGTCTCGGTGGACATTGAATTCCTAACAGTCACTCAACAAATGATGTTGATGCAGCTAGATAGGCATCCGGGAACAAAACAACCGCAATCAAAAGCTCCCTGAATCCAAAGTTAACAGACAAGCTCTTCCTCCGAATGGTTGGAAACTCCAGATGACAACCCTGAAACTGTACAGCCTCGCCACAGGAAAGGCCTCCTAAGACCCAAACTCTAGAAGCCAAAAGAGACCAACAAGTCAACTATCAAAAATGAGGAGATGGAGAAAGTGCTGCCGGTACAGAGGGCTGGAGGAGTGTGGGGAATACAAAGGAAATGGCGGCCGGGCCGGGCTGCTGAGAAAGAATCAGGAGAGCCAGCAGTCAGAACTGCGCAGTGGGTGTGCACGGCCTTCCCACTTCCAGGTGACGGTGTTGCGACAGTCCCAGTTTGGGTTCTGGAAGATCAGATGGAATCTCTGCTCCCACTGTCTTGGCAAAGGAATGCGTCTGGAAGGCTTCGAGAGAAATTTCCACCCAGATGCTAATCTGTGTGTTTCGTGTGTTGTACTGTGGGCTGGAACAAGCTTTCCTCTCTGCATTAGCATAATGAAAACTCTGAAGAGTTCTGTACAGAAAAGATCTGGGGGCTTCAACTTGTTACTTCCCAAAGATTTGGAAAGATCTGAAGCTTAGAGTGAGAGGCAACTCCAACAGGCCCCAACATGTTTAGAGCAGTATTTCTCCAACATGACAGTACTGACAATTTCGGTCAAACACGTCTTAGTCATAGAGAATTCCCCTGAGCATTGGGAGCTATGTGAGACAACCTGGCTTGACAATCTATCTGCTAGATGCCAGGAACCCCTGCTTTATGGTTGAGGCAAGCAAATACGTGGATAGCAGTTATCAAATGTCCCCTGGTGGGCAAAAATGTCCACGGTTTGAAGTAATTATTCAGATCACTATCCGGCATGCCTTCACCAGACCTCAGCAGCTTGCCTCAGAGCAAGCACTTGGCAGACACATGCTTATTTTAGTGGAGAGTTGTTCAAAATAATATATGAGTTTTTCTGTACAGATTAGCTTCAATTTTTTTTTCAGAAATTTATTTAAATGGCTTCATGAGAGGAATTTTTTTTTGTCTACCTCCAAATTCAAATGCATACAAAATTAATAGCTTGTTTTCTTTCTAAATTAATGGACCAGACTGGGTCATACTCTATTAGTGGGGTGAGGGCGGGGAGAGATGGACTGAGCTCGGCGATGAAGCAGCTTAGTGCTGACACTTTCCGTCTTTGATTTATAAGTTGAGAGCAATCCTCAGGATTAATCCTCCAGTCTTTAAGGCTACGGCAATACTTATTAGAACACCTACCGCCTAGAGACTACTTTTGAGGTCATATATTTCAGCAAATGTTTAAAGTGTTTTGTCTTTATCTTCCATTATAAATTTTAACTAAAAGCAAATTAATTCAGGAAGAATAGAATAGACTCCATTATTTCTAAAATTATTTCAAATGTTCAAATTCATTAATTAGCAGAAAAGCACACGTGCTTCAGTCTGTACACACTTATTTACACATGTGTAATTACCATGTATAAGCCTATACATACACAAGTAAAAATATGTGTCCCCTAGACCTAACTTGCCAGTTTACTCACAGTAACACTATTTCTCCTTAGTATATTTCTTAATCCTTTTCCTCCCATTTTTTGTCATTTACTCAGTAGACTGGGCATGCACATTGCCTGTAAATAAAACAGAACAGCAGAAAGCCAAAAAAAAAAAAGCTTTATTCTACCTTTTGGGTTATAAAAGTGTATGCACTTGGTCATACTGAAGAATCCAAGGCATAGACAAGAGGCTTCCGTGTCTCCTGAAACAGATGTGTATGTTTCAGGCTTGCAATGAGAAGAGAGGAAAGCAATTGATAAAGATCTCAAAGAGGTACCAGTAGAATGAGCTGGACCTCAGAGTATAAGGGTCAGACACGATTGCCCAAGTAGAGCTAGGGTAGGGGTTAGGAGCCATAGATGGCCATAGAGGTCCTTTTGTTCTAATGCGGTGTTGGAGCAACAGAAAGCCCCCTGCATGCCTTCAATAGGCAGAAGAGTACTGTAGAAGAGCTGCAATGAAGAAGTCATACACATAGAAATAATGTCTATCACTTCCCGGACCTGCAGGAATAGTTGGCAACCACTCAAGGGGTCCTGGATGTTTAGGAGACAGTTATGTAGACAGAAAACCTGGAGAACTAAAAGGCTCCTCACTAATAGGAGTGGCCAGTTAGCTAAGTTGGTCAGAGCATGGTGTTAATAAAATGTGTTTACAGTTATTTTATATGTATGGGTGCTTTGTCTACATGTATGTTTGTATACCAGAGTATGTACCTGGTGTTTATGAAGGCCAGACGAGGGTGTTTTATCCCCTGGAACTGAAGTTACAGATAGATGTAAGCTACCATGCAGGTCCTGGGAAGTGAACCTGGGTCCTCCGTAAGAGTAGCCAGCACTCTTGAACACTAATCAATATCTCCAGCCCTGTAGGATGCTAATAAAGGCTTCCCCTGCCCCATTACCTCGATCCTGCATATGTTCTTGTAACTTGCTTGGGATTTCAGGAAAGATGCTTACGTGACAGATTTCTATCACCCTCAACAAACACAAATTAAGTGACAGAAAAATAAAATTGCGTTCTTACATCAGACAAAATGGACTTTAAGTTAAAGTTGTTGTGAGACATGGTCGTTATAAATGGGTGAAGAAGATAAAGGGGTCAAGTTCATCAAAAAGATGTAAAAAGGGCTGAGTAGGACACAGTACTTATTTAGCACACATGACAGCCTGGGTTCCATGTCCAGTACCACACAAGAGAGAGACAGAGGAAGAAAGAATAAATATATATATGCAAACAACATCCCAGCATCTAAATACACAAAGCAAATATCAACAGATTTAAAAAGAGAGATAGATGGGCATACAAAAATAACAGAAGATTCCAGTCTATCATTTTCAATAACATTATCAATCATCCTGACAGAAAATGAATTAGAAACAAGAGACTTTGTAACCAATAGCACAATGCACACTGTTCTCAGGCAAACAATATCCTTCAGGGTAGAAAATGTGCAGAGTTACAGTACAAGAGTAAGAAATTTAAGAAAACTGAAACCATATCCAGTCTCTTCCAACCACAATGTGAGGAACCTAGACAACATCAACAGAAGGAAAAGCAGAAGATTCACAAATATGTAGAAAGAATACAGCCTACTCCGGAACAAAGAATAGGTCCAAAGAAAATAAAAATGGAATTAAAAAGTATCATGAGACAAACGAAGACAGAAACACAGCAAAATGGTGGGATATAGCAATTCGAAGAGGAAAGTTCTTATGCTCTGAATGTGACACGCCCCCCACAGGCCCATACATTTGATCAGGTGATCCCGAACATCACGCTGTTTTAGAGGCTGTGAAATCTTTGTGGGTGGGGTCTAGTTGGAAGGACTGGATCACCAGGAGGCACTCTCTCTGCTTCATGACTGCCCACATAAGAGCTAATCAATCAGGGGAACTGTGGTCCTTGGAATCACCTACCACCAAGTCACGATGGACCGGACTCCATTACGAGCCAAAACAAACCTCCTTAAGTTGTGTTGCCAGATATTTGCTCACAGCCATGAGAAAAGCGCCTTTTGTTGTTACAGATGCCT